CCGGCGAGCAGCAGCAGCTCCGCCGCGCACCCCCTGCGCCGGCGAGCAGCACTTACATGCGAGGCAGGTCTATCATAAACGTGTTTAAAATGGATGAATCTGTTGATTTACACACATGGTAGTTTTTAGTCATAGATTAGCAAAAAAGTGGTAGTTTTCGGGACAAAATCGTAAAGTGATAGTTTTTCGTCACGGTTCCGTGAATTGTGATAGTTTTTGGTTAAATACTCCCCCTCACAGCATGCTGCCATTGTTCCTCGTTCCCCCCTTTTCAACTTTGTTCTCCTGGATTTTATTTTTGTACATGTTCTGTTCTAACCTCAAAATCAAACATTATTTAGATTGGTCAGATTGTTTAAGGCTTTAAGTTCAGTGCTAAAGTTGTATAAACAAAATTGAAGGGGTAACAAGTTATTTTCTAGTTTAGATGCATGTTTACTTTCAAGATTGTTGCAGCTTGTATATATGAGAATGCAAATGTTTACAAGTTTAAACACATCAGAAACTGTGTAAAGGTGTTAGTATTAAAAGAACATGTAATTTGGAAACGTGGTTTTCATCTACCTTTTTACTTGATTTTAGATCTTACTGAGTCCTAAGTGTTGCAAGTATGTACAGCCGCCTCTAATAAAGGCATGAGGTGTATTGATAAGCGAAAATTACGTATTGTATACAATATCGATACAATGCGCAACATATATGTTGTAAAAAATATCCTAACATGATACTAGAAGGATAAGAGCATATTCCAATCCTAACATATGGATCTCTTATACTGTAGGAGCTGGGGAATAATATCATTGACTGTTGCTTACTACTGGCAACTATACACACTCTCCATTCTAGTCAAGCTTCATGAAGCAGTCCCAGGCAGGAGGTACAACAGATATGTGGAGCTTGCACAAGCTGCATTTGGTGAGACAAAGACATGCCCTTCGCTATTTTGCAAATTCATGGCAATTAACTCTTGATTCCAACCTGGATATATGTGCCAATGTTTGCTGTCAATAATGTGCCATGTTTGGAGTCGTTGTCAATGTTGACGATCTGTTTCATGTAGCTTAACGGAAGAATCTTTTTAACATTATTAGCTAGGTGTAGTGTTCAAGCATGGGTAGTGCCAGCTTAATGTACAATCACTCTCATATTTGATCCACATCTGGAACAGTAGAAATGACTGCTTAACGGTTATAGCATATCACTCTCATGCTACAGTGGCGTAAAATGTGGAACTTTCTGCTACCACAATCACTCCATGATCCGTCTAATCAAACCATTGCAACACACACTTTGAGTAATTAACCAATTATTGCCTGTTGTTATAAGAGTTAGTATATGCAATGTTGCCTAGATTGTCTGCTGAGCTGCTGCTACATGGATTACTGGAAATTCATTTTGTTGGACTGTAAAATTAGCTGAGTTGCTGATTTCTATCTGTTCATTCAGGAGAAAAACTGGGAGTGTGGCTAGCTCTTTCCCCAACTATTTATCTTTCGGCGGGCACTGCAACTGCATTGATCCTTGTTGGAGGGGAGACTATGAAGCTCTTTTACCAAATAGTGTGCGGCCCCCTTTGTACACCGAGCCCTATTTCGACGGTCGAGTGGTACTTGGTATTCACATCCTTGGCAGTCATTCTTTCCCAGCTCCCGAATCTCAACTCGATTGCTGGGCTTTCGCTTATCGGTGGCGCCACAGCGATAATGTACTGCACCATGTCGTGGGTTCTCTCTGTGAGCCAGCAACGGCCGGCGGCAGTCTCTTATGAACAAGTGAGATCCACTTCTTTTGGCTCATCACTGTTTTCTACCTTGAATGCTCTTGGGATAATAGCCTTCGCATTCAGGGGACACAATCTTTTGTTGAACTGTCACGTTCATTGTATGTACACTTGTGTTGATGATTATCCTGTAATCTGTTGTAACTAGGTAGGCTAGTCTTCAGGATCCCTCCTAGTCTAACGCAACCACCACGAGACGTGCCCTGCATGTAGGGGTCTCGATGTATATGTAACCGAGCTCCGCTCTCTCGCAATACACATAGAGTTTACGGCTCAGTTTGGTATCAGAGCGATGGTTACTCCTCCTTCTTCTCCTCAGGCAGATGCCGACTCCTCCAAGGCTGCAGCCGCCGCCGCCGCGCTCGCCGACGGCGCCGCTACAGCAGCCCTCCCTGCTGATCCCAGCGTCGAGGCGCGCCCCCGCGCTCCGCTCTCCACCGACAACTCCGGCTCAGCTCTTCCTCTTACCACCCTCCCACCCAATCCCGCTGCGTCTCCTTCCTCCTGCGGTGCCTCTCCGGCTCTGCCGGCGAGCGTTTCCGGCGTCATCGACTTCAAGCTCGCTTTGGACGGCACCAACTTCCAGCACTGGCGCAACTACATCAACCTCCTTCTCGCGCGCTACCATGCAGAGAGCCACGTGCGGGAGGGCTCGGCCCAACGGCTGGCTGACCAGGCCTGGCGTGACGACGACAACACCGTCATCCTCTGGTTCTTCACCACCATTGAGGGGGACCTCCTCGACATCGTCGCTCCTCCCGGCTCCACCGCCTTCACCATCTGGACTAGGATCCACGAGTACTTCCTCGCCAACGAGGCCGAGCACGCGATGCATCTCGGCCAGGAGTTCCGGGCGACGGTTCGCGGCGACCTCTGCATCAACGACTACTGTCGCCGTCTCCAGGGCATCGCCACCGCGCTCGCCGACGTCCGCGAGCCCGTGACTGATCGTACTCTGACCCTGCAGATGCTGGATGGGCTGGGCCCCAAGTTCGCCATGCAGGCCGCCATCATCCAGTCCACCGTTCCCCTCCCCACCTTCCAGCAAGCGCGGTCCCGTCTTGTCCTCGCCGAGCTCTCCCTGGACAGGCGCGCCCGCGGCGAAAGCTCTCAGGTGCTCGCTGTCCAGAACGACGAACGTGGGGATCGTGGCGGTGCCCGCGGCGGCGACCGTGGTGGTGATCGCGGTGGCGATCGCGGTGATCGCGGCGGTGATCGCGCCGCTCATGGCGGCGGCGGGCGTGGTGGCCAGCTCGGGGCGCACCGTGGGCGCGGCAACCGTGGGCGCGGCCGCGGCCGTGGCCGCGGCGATACTCCTCCTGGCCGCGGTGCTGGCGCCACCCCCTGGCTGGGCTACTTCGCTCCCGTCAGGGCGCCTTTCCCTCCGCCTCGTGCTCCTTGGATCCCGCCGAACTCGGCGGGCGTGCTTGGGCCCCGTCCGGGCGCTCCAACGCAGGCCTACCCGCTGCTCTACTCTACCACGCCGGCGCCACCTGCTCCCACACCGTACGCCGCGGCTCCCCCTCACTGGGACGCCTCGGCCATGTACCACACGGCTCCGAGCTACGGATCCGCCTTCCCTCTGAACGCCGACTGGATTATGGATACGGGTGCGGCGTCCCACGTCACCGGGGATCCAGGTACTTTGTCCTCGTTTCGTTCCCTATTAGCTCCTTACACTCGTCATATTATTGTCGGTAATGGTTCTCGGCTCCCTGTGCTTGCTATTGGTACTGCTCATCTCCCTCCCAAACCCTTCTACCTTCGCCATATTCTTTTGTCTCCTAATATCGTCAAAAATATCATTTCCGTTCGTAAATTCACTCGTGACAATTTGTGTTCTGTTGAGTTTGACCCCCTTGGATTTTCCGTGAAGGACCTAGCAACCAAGGAGGTGCTCCTGAGGGTCAACAGTGATGGTGATTTATACCCCTTCCATGCAAATAAAGGCGCCACCACCACGCAAGCATTCGTCATCTCCACCCATGATCTCTGGCATAGGCGGCTTGGGCATCCTAGCTCATCTACTTTTTCCCGTTTTCCTTTGGATTTTCTTACCACATGTAATAATGATGTCCGACCCTCCCATCTCTGTAGTGCGTGTCAAATGGGCAAGCATACACGGCTGCCCTTTGCCACCTCCACCTCCTACACTACTGCCCCATTTCATTTAATCCATTGTGATGTTTGGACGTCGCCGGTCTTGAGCTACTCTGGCTATAAATATTATCTTGTCATTATTGATGATTACACTCATTTTTCTTGGACTTTTCCGCTGCGTGCCAAATCCGACACTTGTGCCATTTTACTTCGTTTCCTTCATTTTATTTTTACCCAATTCGGTGTTCTCATTCGGTGTGTGCAATGTGACAATGGTGGGGAGTTTCTTACTACCGCACTACGCGACTACTTCTCTTCTCACGGCATCTCCTTTCGTCTCACGTGCCCCCATACCTCTCCGGAAAAGCCGAACGTCACATCCGTACCACCAACGACGTCGTTCGTACCTTGCTCTTACAAGCCGGTATGCCTCCTGCCTTTTGAGTTGAGGCACTACACACCGCCACCACTCTCATTAGAAATACAGGTTAGTACTACTCAGCGACCAGTCCTGTTAGACTTTCAGTACTATGTAGTTCTATTTGGTGGCTTCATTTGTTTTATTTAAATTAATTTCACAACTACCAGGCGACGATGCCGTCGACTTTCAAACACCCTGCACATGTGCCTATGTGGCGCGGGGCAAAAGCGGCATATCTTCTGATTGCAATGTGCATCTTCCCTGTTGCCATTGGAGGTTACTGGGCCTACGGAAACATGGCAAGTACTTCAATCATTCACTCCTCACTCACCATCCCGTTGTGCTGCATCTTTTTCTTTTCTTTTTTTGCTAACAATCCTTGAAACTTTTCTGTTGTTCTTTCCCATGCTGGCAGATGCCACCTGGAGGGATCCTGACCGCCCTCTACATCTTCCACGGCCACGACATCTCTCGTGGGCTCCTTGCGGTGACGTTCCTCCTCGTCGTGTTCAACTGCCTTAGCAGCTTCCAGATATACTCCATGCCGGTGTTCGACAGCTTTGAGGCCTTCTACACAGGTCGCACCAACCGGCCCTGCTCAGTCTGGGTCCGGTCTGGGTTCAGGATCTTCTACGGGTTCATCTCGCTCTTCATCGGCATCGCTCTGCCGTTCCTGTCTAGCCTCGCCGGCCTTCTGGGCGGCCTAACGCTGCCGGTGACGTTTGCCTACCCATGCTTCATGTGGATCTGTATCAAGAAGCCTGAGAGGTTCAGCTACAGCTGGTACGTGAACTGGGGCCTCGCGCTGCTCAGCACCGCCTTCAGCTTGGCCTCCTCTGTGGGTGGTGTCTGGAGCATCATTAACACCGGGATGAAGCTCAAGTTCTTCAAGCCCAACTAGCATGCCTACTGTTTTCAGCTTGCAAATTTATGATATATAGGTATATGCTTCTTATTTACATGCCTTGGCAAGACCAGTGGCATTAAGTGATGTTGATCTTATATTAGTAGAGTTTGTCTTGGTAAAATGTAAGTATCCCCTGTTGGATGAGAAAAACATGAGCCGATCAAAGCCTCCTAGTGGCGACCTGATGAAGGTCAAATGTAACTCGAACAATTTATATAACGACTATCTCTGTGGTAATAGCGTATGTACTTTTCTTTTCTCAGTTTCGAACTTGTATGGTGGACCCAAAAATATATGATTCAGTCCCTCTTTGATTTGTAGGATTTGAAAAACACATGTTTGCATGTCATTCGCACTTATATCCTCCGTTGCACCACAAAAAATAAATCAAGACGTCGTGGTGGATTGAAATTTTGCTTTCAACTGTGGTGCAAAGGATTCCTTAAGAAAAATCATATTGGACTCACTCAAATTAAACATATCCTAGGCATCCAAACTATCAATGACAATCGTTTTAACTAAAGAAGCACTCAGTGTATAGTTTTTAAATTCTTAATGAAAATTGGACATCAATTCTTTTGAACAACATTAAACAAAATGCAAATGCGACCGAGCTTTTATTTATACAAGGTGAACGTTGTAGACATCACAAAATTATAGTTAGCGTGTTACTCCCTCCGTCCTTTAAAGAGTGTACTTCCAACTTTCTTGGAAAGTCAAACTTTTTTATATTGACCGTGTTTATATAATAATACATCAACATTTATGCCATCAAATTAGTAGCATTAAATTCGTGATAAAATATACTTTCATCATATACCTATTTGATTTCACAAACATTAATATATTTTTGCACAAACTCGGTCAAACTTTGAGATAGTTTGACCCTCAACAAAATTGGAAGTACACTCTTTAAAGGACGGAGGGAGTAGATTTTATGGGCCTCGGCCAATACAATCCTTAACTTCAGTCCTTGACGGTTAATACACCATTGATCTCACGATCTGCTATGGGTAGTGGATGACAGTAGAGAGAGGGGTGTAAATCAAGAGATTACTGTGCAGTAATATAATTTAAAAAGCTAGTTAGACAAGCGCATCATCTTTTCTATGGCGCATCATCCACATTATTACATATAAAGCCTCAAGAAGTGCTAGGCAGGATGAAGGTAACCACGTCGCCTCTGATCGTCATGAATAGTACTCACGCCACCCCTTGTAAATTCCGTGCCCCGCCCGGGGCATTTTAGTCTTTTCATGTGCAGGGTATAAATCAGAAACGCTGCCGTGGAGAAACCCTCGCCGCCGCCTCCCGTCCCACTCGCCTCCCCCTCAGCCGCCTCCTCTCTCCCCGCTCGTCCCCTCCTCTCCCCCACGCCGCCCCTCCTCTTCCCGCTCGTCTCCTCCTCTCCTCTTCCCTCGACGTCGTCCCTGCTTCCCTCTCTGACCCGGGCCAGAGCCTCGCCGGCCGCTCCCCCCCAGCCGGTGTCCCTCTTCAGATGCATCCTCCACGAGATCCGGGTACGGAGAGAGTCATGGTGGCAGGGGCAGATGCGTGAGGAGGAGAAGGCCGTGGTCATGGTGGCGCGACGGAGGTCGTGGCTCGCCCCCGCCGCTTCTCTCGCGCCCCCCTTTTCCCTGCCCCCTCCCCGGCGTCCTTGCCTCTGCCATGGCCTCCACCCTCCCTCTCCATCGACCTTCCTGAGCTCTCCATCTTCGGGGGTCGCCACCATCCGATGCCGCACGCCATGATTCCAGATCGGCTGCAGGTTGAGAAGGAGCGGTTGCTGCAGTGAGGGCAGCAGGGTCCCCACCCCGGTGGCTGCGTGCAGAGGGGGAGTGGTCAAGGACGGTTGCCAGTTCATGGAGGAGAGATGCAACACAGCCGTGAGCTCTTTCTTCCTCCTTTCCTCATCTTCCCATGGTGAACTGAGCTCATACTTCCTTTTTTTTCTTCTAATTGTGCACATAGTGTTTGGGTTGCAGTTGATTCCTACACTCAGTTTCAGTGGTGGCATGGTGTCCATCTCCAGGCCGGTTGCAACCTTCTGCCCCCATCATTCCCTGTATTTTTTTTCATAATTTACACACTAAGTTGTAGATTGGTCGGATCTATTGGCATTAGGCAGCACAAGAATAACAATATTTGTCTGCTTTTTCATGTGCAGGTTCAGCAGCGGCAATGCTCAAGATAGAGTTAGGCCGGTCTGAATAAACAGAGATGAGCAGCAGCAGGGTTGGGTGCCCCATTTGTACGCATTGCATTGGTTAATTTTGTTGTGCTCATGTTTCCGTTTCATGCCTCAAGCTCAAGACGCGCGAGGTGATGGTTTGGTTGGGATGGTGCTGCTGCTCCGCAAGTACGAGCTTCTGCACTGTGTTTTGCTCTCTCAACTTGCCTCCCCTTGAATGAATGGACGCAGAATAATGTGTTGACAAGCTACATGAGGTTGGGCTTTGCGATTGCACCCTGTTTGTGTGCTGGCAGGAAGGAAGAACTAAGAAAAAGTGTGTTGTTTCGCTGGATTCTTCTTCCTTTGATTTCACCAAACTTTGTGGCAGTGGTTGGCTTCTCGACTCCGACACTCTGTATGGACTAGCCCGGTCTTTGCCCAGAAGTTCTAGAAGGTATCCTTCCACCAAATGAGCCGCATCTGAATAATGCACGTGGCCTGAATATTTACAACTTTGTTATCTTGATTCTTAGGTACAATGCTGAAAATTCAGTAGAACATGGTGCTCCTATAAATACTGATAATCCGGAACCTGGCAACCATTGGCTTTTGAAGTTTGGCAGTTTGTTAAAGAGCAAATTGATCCAAGTGAATTGATCCAAGTAAAGAGCAAAACTGAAGTACCAATGTACCTCTTATAAATTTGGTCACTATTGTGCTCTCTGACAGGAATGCAAGTTTTGTGATAAAGGTCAGTTGTTCTGTATATTTTGGTTTCATGCAGTATGAAGTATGAACCGCATGCATTCAACTATGATTTGTTAATATTGAATTGCATGTTCCTCTCTTCTGCGTAGTGTATATGTTGTTTGAGGCCATATCAAAGATGAAAATGATTCAGACGGCAATGTGTTCACTGTTTCATCTAATGTATATGTGGAGTTCAGTCTGTTTCTTGACCCCCTAGCTGTGAAAGTGTTGTGTCTTTAAAATATTCATTGTGTATTTAAAAAAACTTAATAACATATATCATATATTTGTCATTTAAGAAAATGTTTATTTTTCAGAAAAATTGTCACTGATTCCAAAGTCACTACCAATTTCTTTAGCGTTTCCCTCCTAGGATTCAGCCATAAGCAGACAAAGAAATCAGCAGTTTTCTCATGACTAACTGTAAGGAGACTGAGCGCTGTACCTGGGTTATCAAACTAGCTAACAAACTATGCTCTGTACCTGGAACAGACTATACTGTACACAGTACCAAGCTATTAACAAACTATACTGTTCACTTATTTTGGTATATATAAAAAAGCTCAGTGCTAATTTTTTATGAACTTGTGCTAACAAACTATACACAGTACCAGGGTTTGTTCATTTGTTTCCACTTGTCAAGGGTTAGGTACTGGCTGCCTTCCATTTTTTTGTTGGTTGACCTCACGCTTCGTATATAGACTGTGTAAGTTTATCTTTTGAATAGTTTAGCTTTAATATAGTCGATATTCTCATCAAATGGATCGATGTCAGATTGGAGCTAATTTCTTTATAGATCAACCATTGTTGGTGAAGAATTTTGTTTCTGTAGCTCGAGCATGTTGGTGCTCAGATTTTGTTTTTTTCATGATGATTTTTAGATCCGATCACTTAATTTGTTCACATACTACTTGATGTTGCAGGGTCCACAGCCAAAGCACCACTCGAGTTTCATATGCAGTACAAAGACGAGGCTAGAAATTGATCTTAAGTCTGAAGGAACGTCACTTTTGTGAGTTTTGTTTCTCTACTCCCTCATATGCAGTACAAAGACGAGGCTAGAAATTGACCTCAAGTCTGAAGGAACGGCACTTTTGTGAGGTTTCTTTCTCTCCCTCATGTGACCATGGTGGTATATCTGCCATCGGCACCTTGGCTTTATTTTTATAGGTTTACTTAGTAGGTCATACATTAAATGTTCTACTCCCTCATATATTTTCTTCAGTTAGTTTCGTGCAGCATTTTTGGTGTTCGTCTTCGTGCCATATGTTTATACTGAATATTTTTCTTGCTTATGCTGTTTAGGAAAGAAGAACAAGGATTAGCAAGAGGCTGCTAAGGAGGCTGCAACACCTCGTGCCCAACATGGACAAGGTAACTAAATCAGTTGAATTGATGCACAGTTGCACACTGTCAATTCTGTCACCACATAGAGACGAGATTTTCACCATGAATTGCAGAAGATTTTCACCATGACGACTACATGCCTACATATTTAGCGATATAAACTAACTACTAAAGTACTAAAACTGACGATCTAATCAAAAGTGGGAAGTGTTGCCCACGGAAATTCAGAACCTTTGTAGTTGTTGATGACTCAGACCTTAGTTACTTCAGATTTCAGAATCGCATTTGTTCAGCTATTCTCTAGGAGAAGTCGTGCAATACAGACATATTAATAAGTTTCTTCTTGAATATGCAGCAAACAAATACTTCAGACATGCTGCGTATTGCTGTAGACTACATCAAAGTGGGTGCTGCAGGACCAAATTGAGGTATGCTCAACATAGACACATCGGTTATATAGCACACGCTTCCAGGAGGGCCTTGTTAAAACATATCATTTTCCATTGCATATATCATGTTTCGATAATTTTGAGACAAGCACAAACTGACTAATTACAAATAGGATATTTTTTACCAAATAGAAAATGATAAGATGTAGCGTTCATTATGTAAAAGTGGATTTATGCGCTTATTATCCACGGTTTGGTTTATGCTTGTTAGGTATGCAATGTGCTTGTGTTTCATAATTGTCCACTGCACCATTGAATAATAGCTAAGGTAATAA